ACTAATCTTAAAAGCAAAGGCTAAACAAAACAAACCAAGAACAACAACTAAAAACTAGGCAGCCAAATTTCCAAACTTCACTTTCTACGTAAGTAAAATAGGGAAAATAATAGACCCACCTCATAGAATTGTGGGAGGAAAGTAAATCCCATTGAATGATAGCTGTTATACGTAGTCTCATTGCTATTTATAAATTCACTTGAGGGGATTAGGAAGTCTGTCTTGTTTCCTTCTAGCCACTAAGAGGCGCGCTTTGGAGCAGTAGGAACGAGGGCACAAATAATCTAAAAGCGGGCGGAGGAGCGGCTTCAACTTCTGGCGGAAGTGGGTGCCCTTCTCCCCGCCCCCCCCACCCGTTCTTGGAAGCTCAGAAAGCATTCCAAATAGTCTACGTTGTCCCAACAACAGGTAGGACAATTTTTCAGCTCTACTCCTAGATATTAATGTCTAGGAAACACAGGTCTCCCTCGACTTTTTTTTCAGTATTATTTCTCTGAAGTTTATTTTGTTTGAACGACCAACAGCCGGAGGTTCACGCCTTTTCTCTGCCAGGACCCAGAGACTAAGTCCCATCGGCCCTCGCGCACCACCTTCCCGTCTCTTCCTCTGCGCTGCCTCCGGAGGTGGCGCTCATCTTTTACACGGTGAGTGTTAATCCTTGGTCATCCGCGTCTCTGCGGTCTGCACCAGTACGCATCGCCCCCCTGGTGAGGAGGTCTGTCCTTCCGAGCGGTCGTCTCGGTGGATATTGTCCTCGTCGCCTGGGTGGAGCGCGTACAGGAACAGAACGAAGTGACCCAGCCGGTAATGGAAGTTCGCTTACGAGGGCCGCTTGGCGCGCCTATGGAGGCCGCCTGGGATCACGCTCAACTGCGGACAGCTTGTTTGAGCTCCGGGAGCACAGGGCGCCGGTTGGGGCCAGACTATGGGGGCTCCTGGGGGGCATGGAGCGATCCGGGGGTAGCTGCCTGACTGGCCTGGGCTCGAGTGATTGGATCACTTCGCTCAGCGATGTCTGCCCACGTGTATTCTACATCTGTTGTCCGACGGTCCCTTCCCTGCAGTTTCTGGCCTTGGACTGTCGAAACANCTTTCAACGACCCTATGAAGTTACTCTTAACATACCCAATTTACAGAAGAAAAAACTGAGGTACAGAAAAGTTAATTATCTTGCTTAAAGTCACACATCTATGACAGTGGTGGAGCGGATATTTGAATCCAGTTATGCTGGATCCAGAGGATGTACTCTGAACACCACATTAAAATGCCTCTAGAGAACAGACAGTGTACACTTAAGAGTTTGGGTTTTAGAGGTAGCAGATTGGGTGTCAAGCCTGCCCTCTGCCATTTGGTCACGGTGTAGCCTTGGTGAAATGACTTATCCTCTCTAGGCCTCCAGATTCCCACTGGTTAAATAGACTTGGTAACAGAACCCGCCACATGGAACTGTAGTGAAGACTGAGATACTGAAGCACTTAGCATAATGCTACACCTCTACTATGGTCACAGTTGGTCTGATCTGCTGAGGAGCCCCAGCCCTGGCCTGTCCACCATGATAACCTTCTCTGTGTCTTCTCATTTTCCAGGAAGCTGGAGATGAACAGGCCCAGTAGTCCGCAGCGAACCCACCCCAATTTCTTTTGGCCGGGTCACCTCCTGGACAAGCTGCGGCTCTACCTGCCCACTGTGACCATGGATCGGAGCCTGGCGCTCTTCAGTTGTGTCCAACACCGGCCCCATGCCTATGCGGCTACCTACCACCCCAACCACTGGTGGCCCATTAGGAACATGAACTACGTGACCTGCACCTATTACGATGCTCC